ACCCTGCCACAACTGGTCAATTATTATAGTGATTAGGAGCCTTAAAATGCTGTGAAATATATGCTAATGGGAGGTTCCTGGAGGAACTTTAGTCATGGCCTTGAATTTCCAGAGACTTGGACCAGTATAGGAACTCGTGGGAATGTTGGAAATTAATAAGAAGCACCAATGACTTCCAGCTTCACCTGTATTTGTGTTTATGAGCCTTGTTGGCTCACCTCTGTAAGCCAATGCACAATCTGGTATTTCCTCTGAATAAGGAAAGTGGAATTCTGAATGTTGACAGTTGTATTGTTCTTCAGTTTCTAGAGTGATACTGGAAAAGGATGTTTGTTAGACAAACTTTAAAATGCTGAATGGGCACAAACATGGTATGCTGTCATAGCAAAGGATAGAAAGCATTGTTGCAATAGGTTTATTTAAAGAATAGGGATGTGCATATCTAGTTCTCTCTGTAGAAATTTTGCTAGAACAGCATAGAAGTTCAGAGCAGATTTCCCAGTTATGGTATTACTGTAACAGAATTGCTGGTAGTGAGCCACAAACTACTTTCTAAGCTGTTAGGATACTTTATGATTTGTATTATGTGGAAGCATGTTGCTTCCTCAGTATCCCTGCCATTTTCAAGGTGTTAGACTAGGCAGAGAAAGTAATACAATTTTCCAGAAAAATCATATTAAGAACTTATATTGTGTTACTTCTGTTTAAGTCCTCAGTGTAAGTTCAGCTCAGGTGCTTATAGGGTACAAGATCAAAACCCTCCAGCTACCTTTTGCAGAATTATGAGCTGCTTACATGAAGTTAAGCTTTAAAATACCAAGTTTGAGGTCTGGATAGATTGACTAGAATTCAGCTTGAGGCTTTACCAGTTTTAAACTACTAAAAGATGATCTATTTAGTTTTGCATGTCTTGCTAAGTCAAGTAGTGACAGCTGTGTTGGCAGTGTTAGGTGTTGAAAACTGGCTGTTGAGTCCTTTGTAATCTGTATCATCACCTGTGTGTGTTCATGGCTTTGGTATGTGATATCAACAGCAGAATTTATAGTTACTGCTGGATGAAATAACTGAATCCCTGCCACGGGATCTTTGTCTCCTGGCAGAGTATTTCTGATTCTCAAGTAGTTAGCCAAGCAAGTACTACTTAGCTCTGTAGCTAAACACTGTGGAAACTGATGAATTTGAAGAAAAATAGCGAATGAGCTTTTTGTTCCTACTGGACATGGCTATACTCTGAGATATTTCAAAGAAGTTGAAATATTGATATGCAATTGGCGTTTTTTTTACAGACTGACAAACTTATGTTTTACTCTAGCAAACGTAGTTCTTAAGCTGCATTTTTATTGAAAAGGGAGGTTTCTGTTAGAAAGTTTTGAATAAGGTGAATAGAAATTCTAATTGTTGGGATTAGATCACTCCAGTAAAGCAGGACAAAAACCAGTGTTTGAGAAAATGTTAACCTATATGAGTGATGTAGCTATATTATTATATGCCTTTATCTGAGTATTTACAAAGGGGGGGGAGGGAAGAGTAGTATAAAGAGGTATTCATTGTTTCTTCATGCTTTTGGCAGGGTACCTAGCCAGAGAGCTTGGAAAAATTTATATGTACAAAATGTGAAGCAAAATTGAAGATGCAGTAGCTTGAAGGTTCTGATTAATGAAGCTTATTGATCAGTATTAAAAGTACCACCTCAAAAAAAAAAAAAGTGGGGGGGGAGGAAGCTTGTCAGCATTCAGTTTCTTCAACCTTTTAGTTCAAATGTTAGTATGAAATCACCATATTACTTGTATGATGTCAACATTTTTATTTTATGTATTTTAAATTGAAATGAAGTTGCACTTCTATGAAGTGTTATTAAAATTTCTGTCTTCTGTGTACCTTCTTAAACGAATATGTTTCCTTGGTCTGCAAGAACAAATTGTTACATTTAGTTCTGAATTGCTTCCTTGAAATACTGGTTTTGTCTGAGGAATACTAGCATATTTCTGAATGAGTGCCAGGAGGTTTGCAGCCAGAGAGAAGAAAGAATGTGCTAGCTCTGTGGTTGATGAAGCAAAATTATTCTTTCTTCCACACTGAGATTGTCAGATGTCTTACAGCCATTTCTTTTGGGAAACACTATAGTTTCCAAATATACTTAGGCTTGAAATCTAATTTAGTATGTCATTGAATCCCCATTAGAGAGCATTCTGAGCCTAAGCATCGCATTAGTGCTCTTCCTCTATAAGCAGTGAAGGAAATTTATCATTGGAGTGATGCAATTTAGTATGTATTTAGCATGGTTCGTTACGTTTTCATCATTGGTTTGGCTCATGTTAATTTCTGAATTAATACCTTAAGGGAGGCTGCTTCTTTGGTAGTAAAGAAGTGCTGAAGTATTGAAACTGGTACATAACGTCTGACTCCTTTTGCTTCACTAAAATTTCCTCTTATTTTTAAAACACTGGTTCAACATATGGACTGCTGGTGTCACTGAGGCATTTTAAGCTACTATATTTAATAGAGATTTGCTGCAAGCAAATTTGTGAGAGCACAGCGCATCTACAGTGATCTTATCTGTAGTACAAGCTCATCTATGGTAAAAACAAGGATGGGTGAAAAGTGATGGGTTGGCAGCACCATCAGAATTTGCTCTTCCTGAATATTAGAAAGTTATGTTGTTTGGTGACATTCTGTAATTTGTCTATTCTTTTGGAAGCTGAGTCATTGAACTTTATTGGCATATGCACTTTGTGCAGAATTAAAATGTTTATTTTGATTAAATAATGAATTAATTTGACAGTAATTACATGCACATAGGTGTATATAGAAAGAGGTTATATAAATAAAATAATGAGCTATTCTGCTTGAAAATAACACCCACGCACCCCACCCCCAAAACATCATCTTTTTCCAGATTTGTATTATGGCGGAGAAGCTTTCTCTGTAGAGCAGCCACAGTCCTTTACTTGTCCTTATTGTGGAAAGATGGGTTATACGGAAACATCTCTTCAAGAACATGTTGCTTCTGAACACGCAGAAACATCAACAGAGGTGGTAAGCCGCTTCAGCTTTGTTTTTAAATTACCATAAAAAATATGAAAATTTCCAGAAAATTAGTGGTGGGTTTTTTTTAAGTATGTGTTCATTTAAATGCTGACTAGGAAAGTACGTACCATACATACATATCATAGAATGGTTTAGGTTGGAAGGGACCTTAAAGACCACCTAGTTCCAACCCCCCTGCCATGGGCAGGGACACCTTCCACTAGACCAGGTTGCTCCAAGCCTCATCCAGCCTGGCCATATGCACCATGCTGGTGTTTATTGACTCCTTGAGCTGCTAACAGTCCTCAACTCAGTGATCTTACATCTGCCTACAACATCACCTTTACCTCTCTACAGTCTTTCTCATTGTGCTCTCTCAGCAGTCTGACTCAAGGTTATGCGTTTGAGTCCTTAGTTCGTTGGTATGCAGGCTGCTAAATCCTGGTTTTACAAAGAGGGTTAAACCCTTGTAAAAATAAATAGCTTTTAAATATATTGACTTTTTATAAAGCAGCCCTTGCTGTTTCCCTTTACCCTACCACTTGATTTTCCTGATGTTTTCAACAGTAGTAATTGGTGCAGAGCAATTATACAGTGTATAATAGACTACTGGAACAATTGTTTTGCTTCTTTCTTTGTCAGTAAGTGTTCTGATCTCCTCAAGTTTTTAATACCTAGATAATACTGTTGCTTGTGCCAGAAGGTCTGAAACTTTTCTGAAATGTGAGGTGACAACTTTGCTATGTATGCAATAAAATAATAAATAATTTGAACTTTGATACTATTATAAATGGCTTGTTCTCAACCTTCATTACAATGTTGAGAAACAACATACTTGCACTGCTTAGTGTTCAGACTGCTTTCTTTTCAGAAAAGTCTGTAGCCCTGTTTTTAGATTTCCCTTTATGGTACAGGGGTATGTTTTGTATTTATTTTTAAAGCCCGCTTTACTAATTCAATGATTGTTTGCTAGCAATCCTAGGTTAAATTCTTGACCAAGAATCTTGGGTGTCTTTCTAGCAGTGGGGGATATATTCATGTTTGTGTGTGAATACTGTTTATGCCTGAGTTATGTATGATTATAAAAGGACATTCAGGGAACTATTATCTAGTTACTTTTGCTGTAGATTCCTATTAAAAATGTGCATGCTTAAAGGAAAAATTATCAAAATCTTAGTAAGTTGTGGAGAACTGACTCATGATTTTGAACTTGCTTGTTCTGACCTCTAAGCTCTCTTCACTTTTTGAGAAATTATGTGGAAATTACTTCTCCTTAAAGCCTGCTAAGGGCCTTATGTTAAGGAGTAGTAGAGGAGGTAAAATTGGTCTACCTGTTCTGAGACTCAAAGGTATATTGGTCTTTCCTAAGAACATATGAACTATTGGCTTTTTTTTTTTTTTTACACTGTTGCTATTGGGTTTCAGTAGAGTGGAGTGATTAACAAAACACAGCATTCAAGTAGAAGTTTTTCAGGGTTGCAGCTCTGAAAATACCATCGAAGATACCATCTTTGATTCAGGTTTCAGAATGAAGACATCAATTTTCTGCTACTCAGTCACACTTAGCAGATTCATTCTGTATTTAGTAAGGCAGCAACTAGACTGAACTGAAAAGACCAGGTGGGGTGGGTTGACCTTGGCTGGCTGCCAGGTACCTACCAAGCTGCTCGCTCTCATTTCCCTCGCCAGCAACCGGATGGGTAGAAAATATGGCAAAAGCACATGGGTCAGGATAAGGACAGGGAGATGACTCAGCAGTTATCATCACAGGCAAAACAGACTTGACTTGGGGACATCAGTTAAATTTATTGCTGATTAAACAGAGTAGGACAATGAGAAATAAGAACAAAACTAAAATCACCTTCCTTCTTCCCATGTTCATCTTCTCTCCCAACTCTTCTACCTCCTTTACCCTTCCTTGAGGTGCACAGGGGGATGGGTAACGGGGGTTGCGATCAGTTCATAATGCTTTATCTCTGCTGCTCCTGCCTCCTCACACTCTTCCCCTGCTCCAGCATGGGGACCCTCTTATGGGATACAGCTAGTCTTTCATGAACCTGCTCCAACGTGGGTCCCTCCCATGGGGTGCAGTCCTTCAGGAACAGACTGCTCCTGCATGGGTCCCCCACAGGGTTACAGTTCCTGCCAGAAAATCTGCTCCTGCGTGGGCTCCTGTCCATGGGCTGCAGCTTCCTTAAGGGCACATCCACCACCTCTGGCATGGGGTCCTCCATAGGCTGCAGTGCGGACATGTGCTCTGATGTGGTGCTTCGTGGGCTGCAAGGGGACAACTTGCCTCACCATGGTCTTCACCATGGGCTGCAGGGGAATCTGCTCTGCTGCCTGGAGCACCTCCTCCCCTTCCTTCTTCACTGACCTTGGTGTCTGCAGGGTTGTTTCTCTCGCAATTTTTCTCACTTCTCTCTCTCACAGCTGTTACTGTGCAGCTTTTTTTACCCTTTCTTAAATATGTTATCACAGAGGTGCTACCACTGTCACCAATTGGCTCAGCTTTGGCCAAGGGCAGGTCTGTCTTGGAGCTGATTGGAACTGGCTCTGTCAGCCATCAGGGGAAGCTTCTGATGTCTTCTCAAGCCAAAAAGTATTTAACGTACAGCAAAAAAGGGAGCATGGAACAGATCAGATAAACTAATATCAAGAACAGATAAGTTAACCATTGCTGACCACAATATTAAACAGCTATAATAATTATATGTTCTCTCTAATATGCTCTGGTCGAATCTGTCATTATCTCAAACCCTTTGAGTCCCATGTTGGATGCCAGAAATGCCAGTCATGGTTTAACCCTGGCTGGCAACTGAGCACCACACAATTGCTTGCTCACTTCCCCCTTGCTCCTAGTGGGATGGGGGAGAATCAGAAGGGTAACAGTGCAAAAACTTGTGGGTTGAGATAAAGACCATTTAATAGCAATAGCTGCCCATGAAAGCAAAGCAAAACAAGGAATTCATTCACTCCTTCCCATTGCCAGGCAGATGTTTAGTCAACTACAGGAAAGCAGGGCTCCATCACATGTAATGGTTACTTGGGAAGACAAACACCATAACTCTGAACATCTCCTCCTTCTTGCTTCCTGGTGGTTTTTATTCTTGAGTATGACATCATATGGTCTGGAATATCCCTTGGTAAGTTGGGACCAGCTGTCCCAACTGCATCCCTCCCCAACTTCTTGTACATCCCCAGTCTACCTGCTGTTGGGGCAGTGCGAGAGACAGCAAAGGTCTTGATTCTGTGTGAGAGCTGTTCAGCAATAGCTAAAACATTGGTGTGTTATCAACACTCTTTTGGTCATAAAGCCAAAGCATAGCACTGTATGGGTTACTAGGAAGAAATTTAACTCTATCCCAGCCAAAACTTGTGTACTCTTTTTAATAGAGAGGTGGTAGTAATAAGAGAACAGATCTGGAAACTGTCAACTGTGATGTTTGGAGCCTAACTGGTTTAAGGTGTTTTAATCATCTCCTGGATTTTATTCAAAGTAATATGGTGATCTGTTAATTTTAAGGGATGTTAAGAGTGTGCTATCTCCAGCCCAGGACTCCCTTGTGCTCAGCTGATGAAGCTTAGCTCAGGGACCTGGGTCTTCTGCTTAGGCTGAGGGATGCAGCTGCCACTTTGTTTGCAGGTTTAACCAGTAGTGAAGCTGAGCAGATATTCCAGAGACCCATGCACAGACAGATGACACTGACATGGCCTGTCACACAGACAACCACAGACACAGCTCTCCTATGATGAAAGGCTGAGAGAGAGAATTGGGCTTGTTCAGCCTGGAGAAGAGAAGGCTCCGGGGAGACCTTATTGCAGCCTTCCAGTACCTGAAGGGGGCCTACAAGGAAGCTGGGAGGGGACTTTTTACAAGGGCCTGTAGTGACAGGACAAGAGGCAATGGTTTTAAACTGAAAGCAGGGAGGTTTAGATTAGATATCAGGAAGAAGTTCTTCATGGAGAGGGTGGTGAGGCACTGGAACAGGTTGCCCAGAGATGTTGTGGATGCCCCATCCCTGGATGTCTTCAAGGCCAGGCTGGATGAGGCTTTGAGCAACCTGGTCTACTGGAAGGTGTCCCTGCCCATGGCAGGGGGGTTGGAACTAGATGATCTTTAAGGTACCTTCCAACCCTAACCATTCTGTGACCATTCCCTCCCCAGTGGCTGGAGGCAGAGACCATGACTCACTCCAGTAGCTGATGTTAACACCTCACTCAGTCCAGTAGTTGACACCATAGGCCAGGGGTGTCTGCACCCCTGGTGTGACAGGAGTAGCTGGCACCACATCCACTCATGGTAGCTCCCCTGCGTAGCTAGCACTCTAGGCACAACGTTTGTAGTACCTGACCTTGGTCTAGAGAGCTATGGCCTCTCCAGTTACTGATTCTAGGACTCTCACTTGTTCCAGTAGCTGACACTGCAGGCCACAGGGTCACCTGCAGCCCCAGTCTGACTCTAGGCACCAAATTTTATTCACACATACACAGGTTTCACCAGTATATTGTACTAAGTCCTTGCAGCATATGTACACATGGGCTAGAGAGTGAGATTATGCAGGGAGGTGGTTAAGATTTAATAAGAAGATATAAGTAGACAGGCCAGACTGGGGTGATCAGGCTTAGGGCTCAGACAAACATACTGACCAGCTCTGTTTTACATATGACCCGCCCACTTCATACCCCTTACTGTCTACCTTCCCCTTTGCTCCTTCCTGCTCTTGCTTCCCTCTGGATGTCTTCTCATCAGTCTGTATGGTTCTGTTGATTCCCTCCCCCCTTCCAGCCTGTCTGTAGTCTCCCCCTTAGTCTTATCAGTTGCAAAGTACACATTCATCTCCCTGGAAGAGTAGTTAAGACTTAACATACTGTGTGGAAGTTTCTCCTTTCTGTCTTACTAACCTCTGATCTGTCAAAGTTTCAAGCTGGCCTGCAGAACTGTTGCAAAGGACTTTTAAGGCACATTTCTCTCAGATGGATGCAAAATCATTGGGAAGTAAAATAAAAATAATAAATGAAAATTGTTATGGCAGTAAGTTTCCCTAAACTTTTTTTAAAATGTGTGTTTAGGCTTAAAGAAAAAACAAAACTATAATGCTATCTCCCAAAATTCTTGGTAGGAATAAGGAGTTTCTCTGACATCTCTATTTGCATATTATCTCAGTAGGTGGTCTCAGTGGTGATACTTTAATGAATATTTACATCTGGTTTCATTCTCCTTCCTACACTTCTCTGGTGAGATGAATGAGAAGTTGCTTGGGGATTTGAAGAGCAGTAAATGAACTTGATAATGTCATATGCAGGTATATACAAGCAGTAATCCTGTGTAACCGGACCTCCTGTCTGTGCTGGAACTGACATATAAGGACAAGTTTGAAAGCTGAAGCATTGCAGATAGGATTTGAAAATTTTATTTTTTGGTTTCCATGGTATTATTAAAAGCATAATTACAAGGAAAAGTGGGTCTTCAAAAGATACTAAAATTAACAGCTGCTTTTGAACACATTTACTGTTTTAAACCTGTGGCTGATTAGAATGTTATATTTAAAATATAAGGATCCATGTCAAGTGATCAACTCTGAATTATGTGTTTAGTGATTTGTGTAAAATTGGTTGTGTTTGGTTTTTTTCTCACTTTGTTGTTTCAGATCTGTCCAGTATGTGCAGCATTACCTGGAGGAGATCCTAATCATGTCACAGATGACTTTGCAGCTCATCTTACTCTGGAACACAGAGCTCCTAGAGATTTAATATCCTTTCTGAAGTTGAGGGAAAAGGGATAGACTTCCTTATGATAGCTGGAGATACTTGTTTTTACTTCTGTAGTCAAGTGGCTACATCTGTTTTGCTTATTTTTTAGAATTAGTGTTTAATTCTAGGGGTTCTGTATGTCTGAAAATTTTTTATGTACATATATTTATATCTGTCAGACTGTGAATGGGCTTTAGGTGTAGCATGACAGTGTGGGTGTGTTTTTGTTTTATTCCTGATAGCAAAACCTTTTAAACATGTTTTTGATAAACAGCTGCTTCTTTCTGCATTGCAGTTATTAGTTCTGATGGCATTTTGTGTATGGGAAAGCAGTAATGCAGATGCAGTAGTGTATTACAGATAATTACAAGACTGAAAGCAGTAAACTTCAACAAGAGCAAATATGTTAGAGAATGCTTTGAACATTAAAATTTAGTGATTTTAAGTGTTAAGTTTTATCACCATATTTCAATAGGGTAATTTCAGACTGTTACTTATTGACTTTTTTTGAGATATAACTAGGAGAGCTATCAGGAGACTTCCTGGGGTTTACTCTGCTGTCTTTCACTTATCTACAGATTGTAGTGATATAACTACTTTTGATGACTGAAGAGCTCAAACTGTCAGTTTCTTTGCACTTTAAGTATAGTTTTCTTTTGTGTTACTTCGGCTTAGGAATAGTAATGTGGCTTGGTTTTGGCTGTACAAATACCTACAAGATAATTTCACAAGGTACTGTTATTTCATAGAAGTAGAGGCCATCATGAAAAACTCTCATGAAGTGATCTCTATAAATTATTTATCTTTCTTTATCTCATTGAAATGAAAATACATTCCTAGTGTAATTTCATAGTGCCTTTTTTGATCAGGGCTTCTTAAAAGAAAAAAAAAAGGCCTAACAACTCAAGTTCATTATATCTAATGCTAGCAACATTAGAGGACATGGTTTCAATTTGGTTGTGATCTGTATTTACATTTAAATTTGTTAGCATTTAAACTATCAGTCCCAATTACACAGTGAAATTGACTTCCTTTTGAAGTGGGTTAGGTGTTGCATTAGAATTCATGCTTCTGGAGCTTTTCCTCCTTCTCCCACATCAGTGATGTCAGATAATTTTTTAATTGGGAAATGTTTGTTTCTGACAAGCTACATAAGAGAAAACAGAATAATCTTTTCATTTATTGAATAAGACCGCAGTGTCAGTCATCACAAACTGATGGGGGGAGCTATATAAATTGGACTATATTATAAATAATTATAGAAAATACATGTGGAAGTTTCCATACAGCGTTGCTTTAGCAATCAGTGTTGCAATGTCCACAAAACTTGATAGAGAAAACTTTTCTGGACTATCTGTTCCATGCCATCCAGAGGGACCTTGACAGGCTGGAGAGGTGGGCCACTGCCAACCTCATGGAGTTCAACAAGGCCAAGTGCAAGGTTTCACATGGCTCGATGCAATCCCAAGCACAAGTACAGGATGGGCGGAGAACGGATCGAGAGCAGCTTGAGGAGAAGGACTTGGGGGTACTGGTTGATGAAAAACTGAACATGAGCCAGCAGTGTGTGCTGGCAGCCTAGAAAGCCAATCTGTGCTGTATCAGAAGTGTGTCCAGCAGGTCGAGGGAGGGGATTCTGCCCCTGCATTCTGCTCTGGTGAGACCCCACCTGGAGTGCTGCATCCAGCTGTGGAGCCCTCAATATCAGAAGGATATAGACCGGTTGGAGCCGAGTGCAGAGGAGGGCCACGAAGATGATCAGAGGGCTGGAGCACCTCTCCTATGATGAAAGGCTGCTAGAATTGGGCTTGTTCAGCCTGGAGAAGAGAAGGCTCTGGGGAGACCTTATTGCAGCCTTCCAGTACCTGAAGGGGCTACAAGGAAGCTGGGAGGGGACTTTTTACAAGGGCCTGTAGTGACAGGACAAGGGGTAACGGGTTTAAATTGAAAGCGGGGAGGTTTAGATTAGATATCAGGATGAAGTTCTTCACGGAGAGGGTGGTGAGGCACTGGAACAGGTTGCCCAGAGATGTTGTGGATGCCCCATCCCTGGATGTCTTCAAGGCCAGGCTGGATGTGGCTTTGAGCAACCTGGTCTAGTGCAAGGTGTCCCTGCCCATGGCAGGGGGGGTGGAACTAGATGATCTTTAAGGTCCCTTCCAACCTAAACCATTCTGTGATTGTATGTTGGATGCCATTTCATTTCTTCTGACAGCTAAGGCTAAAAGGAAGAAAAAGGGGGAGAGATTTCCCCCTGACCAGTTGCTAGCAGTTTAGGAAAGGATATTGTGTTCTGTGTAGCAGTTAGAAGGGATTTTTAGGCTGTTTTAAATGGCTGTACATATTTCTTGTGAAGAATTCTGTGCAGCCACTGCAAGATATCACCTTTATCTCTGGAGTCTCTGGCCAGCTCTTCACATTTGTTTCTTTCTTAAACAATTTTTAGTTCTTTTACTGTTTAAAACATGACTTCAGTCTTGACCATGTAAATGGTTCTAGCTTGGTTGTTTTCAGCATGTGTTTGCAATGAGTTAAGACTTCCAGATGCTTTTTTAAACCTGGCAGATTTGGGTGAGGCATTAGTATACCCTTAACTAGTATTTAAATAATGTTGTTTATCCTAAAAACATTTTGAAAAGTGCATTTAGCAAGCTACTAAGATTCTTTTCTAAATGAGACCAAGGACGGAATTTTTCAAAACATTTATACTGAGGATGTTCTAGTTAGCTTATTTCCCAAGTTTACTAAAAAAAAAAAAAAAAAATCCCAGAATGGGGTCATTTTTCTCTCAGATGTAGCTATGGAAAGATTCCCAAACTGCATGAGAGCAGGAGTCAGTCAGTAAAATATTAGTGACAATGTTCTGTCACTATCAGTATCAACAGATTAAATGGAGAAGCAAACCAGTCTGTGCTAGACAACTACATTCTGTCCCAAGGGGGATTTTGCCCCCCTTCCTAAACCCTGCAAGTGAAATGTTTTATGCTCTATAGCATACTAGATTTGAAAGAGTCAATTCTTCCTGAAAGTATTTATTGTAGTAACTAGATATTCTTACTTGCCGAAAGAAGTCTAATTTTTCAGTCTTAAATTTCTCAATTCAGCGATATCATGAGGAAATGAATTCTACACCATAATTGTACGTTGTGGGATAAGTACATTGGGCACCAGACTGAAAGAAACAATAGATTTTATACATGTGATAAACATGCTATTTTTTAAAATAAGAAAATTGGAGATAAGGTGAGGTAAAGCTACTAATTTAGAAATTAGAAAAATAAGATATGTCCAAGTACATTATTACTTAGCTTAGTAGTTAATCGCACTATTGCTTCTTAAGATAAAAGGAAGCTTTAGCTTGACTGTTTTGGAGAACTCATATGTTAACACTTTTCTGGGAAAGATCATCTTTAAATGATTTGCTGATAGTCTCTTAGCATGTATGAAAAATGTTATATTTCAAATTACAGCTTTTATAGACATCTAAGAAATGTGGGAAATAAAGTGAAAGGCTTTGTTTTAATAGTTGGAGCAAATGGATTTTGTGTGGAGAAAGACAGGAAAGATGAAGCAAAAGGGTATGAGAGAAGTGCTGAATCCTCTGTTGACCTGCAATTCCTTCAAGACTGGAGTATGTGAAATTCCTTGGATAAAAGCATAAAATGCAATAATTACTGTATGCTCTTGGTAAAAATGGCAGTAAAACTGTGTATTATTTTCAGTTTTTAAATACCTTTTTTTCCCAATTTTGATGTTAAAAACCTTATGTCTGTTGAGTAATGTCTTCTGCTCAATACGCATTGTTCAAATTACCTAGTAGAAAACTTTGATCTGAAAGGCAGGAAATCCATCCTGTCATTTTTTAAGCATAATAAAAAGCCTGGTAAATATGAATTTGGTGCAAGCAGCCCTGGGTGCCTTGGGTTCAGATCTATAGGTCTGACTGGCACCATAGCTATGATTGCATTATGCTTATAAAACTACATCATTGTTTCATGAATGAGGAATAGTGTGTTGCCAGATTATTCCACCTAGTAAATGTTCTTGCTGTTGAATATTTGATTGCAAAAGACTTCTTAACTACTTGGTTACGATGAATCTAGCGGCGTTCGGCATGTACGTAGAATGTTTCACCCAGGCCGGGGTTTGGGAGGCCCCCGTGCACGTAGATCAAACATGCACTTTACTAGCAGTTCCACTGGTGGGCTTTCATCTTCTCAGAGTTCATATTCTCCAAGCAATAGAGAAACCATGGATCCTATAGCTGGTAAGTGCTGTAACCACTGATTTAGCTCAGAGTCCTTAAACAGACTTTGAAACAAAATCCAAGATGATAATTGTCTTTTTTCTGTGTTTTTGAAAAAATATGTATATGTGCTTCCCAATATCCTAATTGATGAGTGTTTACTGATGAAAAGTATCCTTAATTGGATTGTCTACAGGGATTGAACCTGGAACTTCTGAAATGAAGAACACTGCCCTTTTAGCTTGTGCTTTTAGAGACTTATAAGCTCATTCCCATGACTGACCTGTCCACAGGTAGTATCAAAGGATGGTTGAGGTTGGAAGCCCCCTCCCCAGCAGGGCTACTTAAAGCAGGTTGCCCAGGACCACATCCAGTGAGGTTTTGAATATCTCCATGGATGGACTGCACAACCTCTGTGGGCAACCTGTTACAGTGTTTGACCACCTTCACAGTAAAGTGTTTTCTTCTGTTCAGATGGATTTCATTTGTTTTAATTTCTGTTCATTGCATCTTGCCCTGTCAGTGAACAGTACAGAGAAGAGTCTGTCTCCATTTCATTCATTCCCTCCCATCAGGTATTTATATATACTGGTAAGATTCCTCCCCCTTGAGGCTTCTCTTTTCCAGGCTGAAGAGTCCCAGGTCTCTTAGCTTCTCCTCATATGATATGTATGTATGTATTTTTAAATGTAATTGTTTCTAACCACCATTACCCACTTCAGTGCATCTAGCTTTCATTTGCCATGTGCATAGAGGTGTTAGAGGTAAATTTTAATTTTTTTTACTACAAAGCAAGTGTTGTACTTGAGTTCATCAAGATTAAATTGGTTCACTTGGAATATTATTGATAGACATTTTAAATGTGCTTCGTTTACTTTCAGATGACAGTTTGGATGACAGGCTTGCTAATGTTTAGGAGGTCTTTTACCTCTCCTTTAAAACTCTTAAATAGCTGTATTTTAATAAGCATTTTATATAGAGCTGAGCAACAGCCCAGCCTTAAGGCTGTGCAAGGGGAAGATAAGCCTGAAATCAACCTTGAGCTGACTGACACAAGGAACTCACAAAATGGAAACTGGACCCTTGTCTCTGCTCAGGGCAGAAGGAAGAATCTTCCCCTAAAGTACACCTATGTAACAGATAAAATACTCTGGGGTTGGAGAACAAGGAGCACAAGTAACAGACAGGATCCAGGAAAAGCTGACCATGTAAGTTGATCCAACCACATTAGAACTAGTACTACCATGAAAGCACATAAAGTATTAGCAGTGGGAGACTCCTTAACAAGAGGAAGGGGAGGGGACAGGCAGGGGAGACATGGAGGGGTTGCGCTCTATGTCAGGGATCAGCTGGAGTGTGTGGAACTCCACCTGGGGATGGATGAGGAGCTGACCCAGAGCTTATGGGTCAAGCTTAAAGGGAGGGCAGGGAGAGGGCATATGGTAGTAGAAGTTTCCTATAAGCCATCTGGCCAGGACAAGTGAGTGGATGA